TCGAACACTGCCCCAATAAACTCTATTCTCTGTACTGGAATGAGAGTTGACTTTTGTTCCTTTATCAACAGGCTCAGTACTCGGAAGGTGGCTTGGCCCAGGCTGATGCTGTTCTTTACTTGGCCTTTGATCAGCCAGTCGTCAAAGTATGGGTAGACTAGAATGCCTTGCCTTCTGAGATAGGCCACTACAACTGCCATGCATTTCGTAAAAACCCAGGGGCCGTGGACAGGCCAAAAGGGAGAGCAGTGAATTGATAATGAGTCTGGTTTACTATAACCCTGAGGAATCTTCTGTGGCCACAGAAGATGGAAATGTAAAAGTAAGCATCCTTCAAGTCGAGGGCAGTGTACCAGTCCCCTGGATCCAAGGATGGGATGATGGAGGCTAGGGAGACAATGTGGAACATCAGTTTCTTAGACAATTGACTTGAGGTGACGCAGATCCAGGATGGGACCAAGGACCCCCTTGACCTTTGGGATTAAGAAATTTTGGGAGTAAAACCCTTTCCCTCTCAATTTTTGAGGTACCTCTTCCACAGTCCTCACCCGTAAGGCTAAGAGCTGTTTGTGAGAAGGGTCCCTGAAGAGGAATGGTGATGGGCGGTGGAAGGGAGAGGTGGATGAAAACTGAAGGGTATAACCGCCCACCACTGTATTTAGCACCCAGTGGTCTGATGTGATGTGGGACCACACCAGGCTGAAGTGGGAAAGTTGGTTCAAAGACAAAGGGGGGCAGGATCCAAAGCAGGAACTGGCATAGTGCCCTCAGGTGCACCTTCAAAAGGGCTGCTTGGGCCTGCCCAGAGTACCTGTGCGACCCCTGCACTGAGGCTGAGGTAGATGGAAGCAGTTGATGGTGCTTGTAACCTCTGCTTCTTCTTTTGAGCAGGTCCTGGTGGCAGAGCCCAAAAAACAGGCTGGCTACTGAGGCCTGAAGTGTTTCCTCAAAGAGGCTGGAGCCTAGAAGCCCAAGGACCTGAGGGTAGCCCTTGAGTCCTTCAGGCCTTGGAGCTTTGTGTCTGTTTGCTCCAAAAACAACAATGAGCCTTCGAAAGGGAGGTCCTGAATCAACTGCTGGACCTCCTGAGGTAGCCCTAAAGACTCCAGCCAAGAACACTGCCTCATAGCCACTGCAAAGGCCACTGGCCTGGCCGCTGTGTCAGCTGCGTCCAGGGCTGCCTGGAGAGAGGCTCTGGCAACCTTCTTTCCCTCCTCTAAGAGGACAGAGGATTCCTGCCTTGAGTCCTGAGGCACGGAGTCTTTACATTTGGACGGAGTCCCACAAGTTGTTATTTTGCATCTCCCGAGCAGGGCTTCTTGGTTTGAGATGCATAGCTATAGTCCACCTGGCAAATAAATGTTTCTCCCAAACAGACTGAGTTTCTTTGTATCCTTCTGCTTGGGGGTAGCACTTGCTTGGCCCTGTCTAGCCCTCTCATTGGCCGCCGATAAATTAGGGACCCAGGAGGGGGGCGAGAGTATAGGTACTTATACCCTTCGGCTGGAACGCAGTATTTCTTCTCTGTGCTCTTTGAAGTGGGAGGGAGAGAAGACGGGGTCTGCCACAGGGCTCTGACCGGACCCATTACAGCCTCATTAATGGGTAGGGCCCCCTTATATGGTGCTGCTGCTGCCACAATGTCAATGAAGCTGTGGGATGATTCCTTAAACTCCTCAAGCTCCAGCCCCAGGGTAGCTGCTATGCTCTTTAGAAGCTCCTGATAGGATATAAAGTCATCTCTCGGCAGTGAGCCACTCGGCCCAGAGATGGGAGGAGGAGGAAGAGGCCTGTACCAGGGGGTGGGGGGGACTACTTCCTCTTCTTCAGCCTCAACTACCTCAATGGGGCCCATGTCCCGTGTCAGTACTGGGTTCAGTGCCGAATGGAGTGGTGCAGGAGCCCTCCTCTCAGAAGCAACCGAGTAGAACTGGTGAGGAGACGGACGCAGTAACGGGGAAAACCCTCATGGGTTCCAGAATGGCCATTGCATAGGCCCTGTCCACCTGGCCAGGTACCTGGGAGGAGAACCTCACCAGGGTCCGGTGGCACATAAGCCGGGTACCGATGGCAGTTCTTAGGATGGGTGTAGGGCTCCACCTTAGTGAGGAGGAATCCTGAGATGACCACAAAGGAGCGGTAACCCTCACTTCCACCAATCAGTGTTGAGGGTCTGGCAACCAGTGCTGGACTGGGGATGACCTCATAGAAGAAAGTAGGGTCAGTTTGCCCCTGGAACGTATCAAAGGTCCCGGTGCCGGGAAGGAGCTCGGAGCACCACCCTCTCTCCTGCTCATGCACATCGGAGCTGGTGGTTGTACCACTGGTGTTGGTGGTACCAGGAGTAATAAGTCCTTGGCTGCTGCAAAGGCCTCCAGGGTTGAAGGCACCACTGGTGCCATAATGACTTCTTGGCATCGGCAAGGGACCCCACAGCAGATTCAACATTCTGGGCGGAGTCAACGGTGCCACCACAGGACCGGGGGGAGAGGCGGGGGGGCAGAAGGAAGGGGGTGGAGTGGTTCGACATGGGTTGCACTCTACTACCTTCCCCTTGCTTGCCTTTCTTTGGCACCAGCGAGCGCCCTCTCGCTGATCATTGCTTTTTATGTTTCTTCCTCAGCACCAGAGATGGAGAATGGTACCAGGATATGTGCGGTGCTGGAGGAGCGCTTTGCACCGAGGCCCAAGTGCTCTGTGCCAAATGCAAGCAGCTTCTATTAGGATAGACCTCGATCTACTCTCTCTGTCTTTCTTCGTACAAGGCTTAAATTCCCAACAAATTTGACCGTGCTCTTGTACATGAGCCGCTCCCAGACACTTCAGACAACTGGAATGTGGGTTGCTCACAGCCATTGGCATGCCACAGGAGGGGTTCTAACTATCTACACTAGTGTTATTTACAATATTTATGCTACAACTAGACTAAGATTAATAAACTAGGATACAGAGAAGAAAATACTGAACGACGCCTTGCCAAAGCAAGAGGAGTTGTTCCAGTAACCATCACAGATGGTAAGAAGGAACTGAGAGGGAGTGGGTCCGTGGGGCCCCTTATACCAGTGCATAAGCGTGCAGCACCAGAGGATGCTAGAGACGGCCCAACGGATACCACTGAGGGAAAAATCTCCAGCAAAGGTGCAAATGGCATGCGTGCAACGTGGAATGGACATGAGCAAGTACTCAAAGTAGAATATACAGACACACTGGAAGACCTAGATAAGGTGTCAAGTTAAAACTTTGAATTATATACACACACACACTTTTTATTGAAGGTTAGTGTTTGTGGGAATAAGTGAACCTTTAGGAGGGATGTGAAGATTGGTGGGAGGAGGGAAGTGCTTGGCTTGCCAACACTGTGAGGGCTCATGCTTATGGGGCAGCATGGAAGAAGGTAGGGTGATGGGAATGGGAGAAGGAAAGAAATGGGACAGCAAGGGGCTGGCATTCTAGACCAAGTGACAGGGAAATGAGATGACATAAGAAACAAGATCTAGCCTTTAGGCCAGCTGAGAGCTGTGAAGGCCCTGCGAGGCAAGAAGCTTAAACCTGGTGCATAGGAAAGTGGAAGGATCTGAAGAGGGGAGAGAGACAAGGAATGCAATTTTAGAAGCTGTTGTTCAAGGTAAGGGCTTTCCACCAAAAACCGTCTTCCTTCAAGCCCCAGAATTATGAATTTAGGCACTATCATCGTAGCACATGAGGTGATCTTGACTTGTGAGCTGAGGAGCATCTGTCCTAAACCCTAGAGCTTTTTAGAGCAAAAACAACAGCACGAATGGCATCTGTAAATGCACTGGGAGTCCGTGTAAATGGTGTAACGTTATTAAGAAAATAATTACTGATGACTTGATGAATTAAATTATTTTCATATAGTTTGCTAACCTAACTCAAGAGCAATAGTTGAACAGCAACAAGAAGTAAGATCCAATAAGTGTTTTTGAAGTTCTAACTGATCAGGTTTCCATAAGTACTGCATTTCTTTATAAAAGCTCCATAGTAACCACTCAGCTTATTAGAAATCGTTTACCTGCAATGCAGCCTTATGCAGCATTTAAGGAAAAAAACAAAACAAGAAAGGACAATGGGCCTACAGCAATTATAGCAGCTCATGGTAACAAGTCACGTAACTTACTCCTTCAGCGGTCAGTTGATAGTATGTACCAAGAGAGGTCTTAATCCTGTGCCAGGTGCTGCTGTTCTCGAACAGCCTATTACTTTCCAGCTATAGCTTTTCCCCAAAATAGAACTTCCATCCTATTCCCAACTTCATTTTGCTGCTGAATTTTCTTATTAAATTCTAGTATCACAATAGCAAAATGAATATTGACCCAGATCTTTATAACTATCCATGCCACTGAAGAGGTTTTGTTCCACTTGAAACGGCTGCAATTTTCCCAACATGCAATAGCACCAGTTAGTACATATTCAAATTTGCCAATAACTAACTTTCAGTTAGTGTTTAGCTTTCACATTCATATACATTTTAATAAGAAATACAAGCCAAGCTTCCCCATAGGTTTTCTTTAACTGTTTGTCTACAAGAGTGGCAGATACTCTCAACTTCAAAACACTATCATATTTGGCAACAATTCAGGAAGAAAGTAAATAGAACACACATCTACAAGGCCATATGGAGGATGCCCTTTCTGTAGCTATATACAGAACAACAATTACAGCAAGCAAAAAGTTAACTTTATGGCAATGAAGACTCCAAGATACCATATTCAGAGTCAGATTTCTCAGCATTCAAATATACTCAATTCAGTAGAACAGTGAAATTGATATTTAGCGCACAGAAATATTGTGACCTTGTTTGGTAACACAATCCGAATGTCTGCAAACCATCTCTCCATTTAATTACCTGTAATTCTATTTCACTGCACTGCAAGGACACTTTCTGGCAGTTCTAATGCAGTGATGCTCTGTTGCTGAGACATACCAAGCAGATGTATGAAATGTGCGTACAGTTTCTCTCTATTTTACATTCCTTCAAGTACCTTTTGTTGAATGGTGGAGTGCTTTTGCTCCATCTCTCTCTTCTCCTTTGCAGCATCTACACCTAACCGATCCAGCTGTAAAGAGAAAAAGAAATTTGGCTCTTTAGACTTTGTAATGCATATTAGAAAAAATACATTATGTCTAGACATTGCATGACTTTTGTCTTATACACAGGAAAGTCACTTCCTTGATCAGAGAGCTTTACCTTTACTATCAACTAAAGTCCTGTTTAAAGCATTTTACTACCATTCTGAATTAACAGGACAAATTTTCCTGACACAAAACCTCTTTGATAGGTGTACATTTGCTTTAGGATCTAAGGAAAACGTTTCCAAGAACAGTATGGTGCCAGGGATATGCGACTGGTACACTGCATTGATGACATGTTCAGCCTCTGAAGAAAGGAATGACTCATGCTTCAGCTGCTCTTGCTGGCTGACTGGTCCTCGTTCAGCAGCAGCAGCAGCGAACGCCAGACAGAAGGAGAGGTTGGTGACTTTCCCCTCCAAAAAGAAGGTGGTGACGGTCCCACCTGAGCTTTTTTTTAAATCGAGAGTTCCCATGTGCTCCCTGAAACAGCATTAAATAGGGCAAGGTTCTATTGCTATTCAGATTGTTTGAGGCTTCCAAGATGTTGTAAAAATAGTGATTATTGCAGAAAACATGGCACACAGGAGATATTTCTAAAAAAAATAAACATTCAAATGTCTTGAGATAAAAAAATATCACTATGTAAAACCTGTCTTGTAGTAAAATATCAGTAAAACTATGATAATAGTGTGACTGATGTCAGTGCTTTTGCCCAGAATTACTTGTGAGAGATCTATGAATATATGATTGGTTAAAAGGTATTCTGACGAGGTGGAGGTGGAAGCTCGTTGACAAATCCTTTGGTATGACACAGCGTGTGGTATAATATTTTGTATACTGTTGTAGACTTTAGACTTTTTCAACATCCTATAAAAATTAAGTACAGAAATTTGGTCCTTTTACCCCAAAATAATAATATACTTCTCTCAGCCCCAATCATTGTTACAAGATCACTGAACATTAATGCAAATAAAGATGTTACGGTTTGAGGACTAAGAGTTGGCACTAAACAGAGTGATGACCAGCAATTTTGCACATGTGACACAGCCTTTGCCCTACCTCAGCACTGGGGTAGCAAAGCTGTATGTATCAGAGCGCAACTGCATTTCTCCACCACAAATCAGTCGTGGAGAAGGGCACAGTACCTGACCTAGTAGAGAAAGTCATTGCGTAAACTATGGGTGAGGAATTCTGCCCTGCCCTGCTCCTTTCTACCATTACGGCAATGCAAAAGGAATGGAGACTGGCCGCATCTCTCTGTTTGCCATTCCCCCAGAAAGAAGAGAGGCTCTGCAGCTGGCTCCTATGCCCCCAGCGGGTGTCCAGAGCATGCTTTACTCCAGCTATCCTTGGGGTTCCATTACTACCTGGCCATGTTTAGAACAGGCCTTCGGCTGCTCTATACTTCATAGGGCCAGGGCTGGCACAAAACTGGCCTCAGAATCTGGAAGCTGTACCCGGTTTCCTGCCAGCACTCTTCCCCCCCCGTTGCACACGGTGGAAGATGCTGCAGTACTAAAACCAGTTATCATCCTAAAAGTCTTGCTCTGCTAGACATGAATCTCTCATTGGATTGTATGTGCTATCGTCATATGTGAAATTATGAAGTTTGGCTATGTATGTGTTACTGAAACATGTTCTGAGGTTGAACACACCCACAGGAGGCAGCCTTTCAGGTCCAACAGTTAAAAGGCCAAACAATGTTAATGGCTTATAGAGGAAGTGCACACAAGCACAAGGATTACCCCAGGAACTGTGTACAATAGAAACTGCTCAGCGATAGCACTACACAATGGGAACTGTCTGACCCAGGGCACAGCAAAAGAGCTTTCCAGCGAGTGGGAAGAAGATATAAAACGGGGGGAAATGACATCATGATGGTACCTCACTTTCCCTACAACACCTGAGGAATAAAGACTGAACAGGGGGGAAGTGATGGTCCCAGGCTAAGGGATTGCTAGCCTGTGTATGAAAACCTGGGAAACCCAAGTGGCAAAGCCAAGGCAGCTTGTGCCTTAAGAATTTGCCAACCTGTTTATCACTCAGGGTGAGAATCTGCTAATTCATATCCTACCTATCTAGTACATTAAGCTCAGTTTGCAGTTTTGTTTATTTACTAGGTAATCTGCTTTGATCTGTTTGCTATCACTGATAATCACTTAAAATCTGTCCTTTGTAGTTAATAAACTAAGGTGTCTGGGGAAAATCTCAGCTTGGAGAGGAGAGGGAGAGGCGGACCAGGTGTTAAACCCATATACTGGCCAGATCTGACCAGGGCAGGACGTACTGCTCTGAGGTCAGAGGCTGGTGGTTAGAGAGCCTGCATGTAACTGCAGCTGGGTGTGTTCCTATGTGTGTGAATGCTAGTGAAAGTGCAGGCTTGGAGGGCTTTGCAGCTTGTCACAGCAGCATAGTGCAGAGGGAGCCCAGGCTGGTGGGTCAGAGGGCTCAGTGGTACCCCAGCTCCAGATGGCACCCCAGGGGGAACCAATCACAGGCGACTAAGGGGGGATACAATGTAGGTCTATAAAATCTTGAGTAGTATAGAGAAAGTAAATAAGGATGTGTTATTTACTCCTTCTCATAATACAAGAACAAGGGGCCACCAAATGAAATTAATAGGTAGCAGATTTAAAACAAACACAAGAAAGTCTTTTTTCATGCAACGCACTGTCAACCTCTGGAACTCATTGCCAGAGGGTGTTGTGAAGGCCAATACTATAACGGGGTTCAAAAGGGAGCTAGATAGATTCATGGAAGATAAGTCCATCAATGGCTATTAGCCAGGATGGGCAGGAATGGTGTCCCTAGCCTCTGTTTGCCAGAAGCTGGGATTGGGTGACAGGGCATGGATCACTTGATAACCTGTCTGTTCAGTCTCTTTGGGGCACCTGCCATTGGCCACTGTCAGAGGACAGGACACTGGGCTTGATGGATCTTTGGTCTGACCCAGTATGGCCGTTATTTGTTCAAAAAAGGCACAAAATCATTTTCTAAATTGATTTTTTGCAGCTGAATCCTTTCACAGCACTGCCTGAGCGTGCAAAGACCATATGCTCAACTCGACAGCATTTCTGTTTGGCTATAACATGACATCTGAATAACATATCTGATCAATTTCAAAATTTCAGGGATTGTTCAGGCCTCAAAGGGTAGAGCCCTATGGAATTCAGAAAACCAAAAGGGGGGGCACAATGCCCTGCCACCTGATTAGCAAAGCCACAGCTCTAAGCACCTCTGAAATCGTCTATAGATCCAACTAGTAAATGATACCCATTCACATCTTCCAGAATAACACTATCCCTGCTCATCCTCCCAATAGAATTTAACATGTTGACACCCTGAATGACTTACATCCCGAGAGAGAGAAGAAATAGAGCAATGGGACAGATGTCAGTCAGCAGAGGCAGCCAGAGGGATAGGAAAGAGAAGGAGAAGGAGGCTTCATTCTTTCCTTCCTCCTAGCCACCTGCCTGCTCCCGGAGGGGGGGCGGGGGGCGGGCTGTACTTTGGGGAAGGAAAAGAAGATAGACACAGAGACCCTGACATGATAATGAGGAAACCTGCTGTGAGATGCAGAGGAAATGGGAAGCAGACAGAGTCCCTGGAAAGGAGTAAGGGGGTGCGCATACAGCCCCTGCCATGGTGGGGCACTCTGGAACGGGGGAAGGGGAATAGGGGATTCCCCCTCACCAGGAGTTCTGGGTATTAGGGGACCATGGTATGGGGGAGGAGGGAAGGGGCACACACAGAGCCAGTAGCATGGGGGAAAAATGGGGAACCCTGATATGGGAGCTAGAGGCAAATGCAGTGCACACAGATTCCCTGGCAGAGGGAAATTGGGGGACCCTGGCATGTGGCAGAAGAGAGAATGGAGGGCACACACTGAGCCCCAGGCAGCACACACTGGTTAAGGTCTCCCACTCAAACTCTGAACTAGTCTCTTCTGGACTGACATTTCCCATCCCTGCTTTCAACTGAAGGGTGATGCTATTGCTGAAAGCTTGAGAAAAATCATGTCACACATTTGAGTTATGAAAGGAATATGGTTCTCACTAAAACCATTAATGCCAGGCTTCTTCTGTAGAGACAGCTAAAATCAGCTGAACTTCAAAAGTCAACCTGTAAATCGTAGCCATTTTGAAATACATCTACAACCAAATTGGTTACAAGCAACTGAAAATTCACTTATGAGCATGATCAGCACGTATCTGCTAAAGTTTTCTGTAGAGTCTAATGAATCCCTGCTCATTCTGGAATGCCACAATATACCTTCTTTCTAACCTGTCAAATATGGGGGCTGCTACCAGTACAAATCATATAACAACTGTAACTCTCTCATGGAAACTAAACAAGCACATCCTTCGCAGCAAAAAATAGACATGATCTTAACATAATAGACAGAAGAAAGTACAGATGGGGGAAAATAGCAAATGGCACAATTTTAGGATCTTGCCACAATCTTTGTTGCATTTCTAATCTATTGTAGGCATTCCAAGATTCATATTTTACAAAACAAGTTTTCTCCCTCCCCTCCCCCCATTTCCCCTTACCCCCATTAAGGTAAGTGATTTGGAAACATCAAAGCCTCACTGGGAAAATCTAAAGTTACTATGAAGACAAGACATTTCTTCTATCTTTCTTTTAAAGAACAAGAAAATTACATGCAAAAACCCACATAACACTGAAGCTGCAGAATCAAAAATAAAAAAGTAAGAAAATGGAGGTTAAAAGGCACACAAGACATCTAAAAAAGGTCACACACTTATCTGAACCTTTAACCTACTAAAGTAATACATAAGACAACCCTAATGAAAAGAGATCAAGGAAAATATCTGTATTTTAATAAAGCACCTCTTATACTTTTTTCCCATATCACCACAGCTGCACATCTGCAAACCCCGAGTGTAGATGTTTGAAATCATATGAAGCCACACTGCTGCAAGTCACTTTTTATACCAGTGCAATGCATCTACAGTAGTGATTTGCAAACGCAAACATGCATGTATGCATCCACACGCTCCAAACCACAAACCATCTATTGTAGCTAAGTTTAAAGTGTGTGTGCCCTATGCACTTGGCAGCACTTTACGTATAGTCAATTTAAGTGTTTCCGATGTGTAATTAGTAGGGCTGTCAAGCAATTAAAAAAATTGCGATTAATCGCACTGTTAAATAATAATAGAATACCATTTATTTAAATATTTTTGGGTGTTTTCTACATTTTCAAATATATTGATTTCAATTACAACAGAATACAAAGTGTACAGTGCTCGATTTATTTTTTATTGCCCTGTTAAAATCAAAAGAAATAGTATTTTTCCAATTCATCTTGTTTATCTTAGCGATTGGCTGAACAAGAAGTAGGACTAAGTGGACTTGTAGGCTCTAAAGTTTTACATTGTTTTGTTTTTGAGTGCAGCAATTATGTAACAAAAAAATCTACATTTGTAAGTTACACTTTCACAATAAAGAGATAGCACTACAGTACTTGTATGAGGTTGAATTGAAAAATAGTATTTCTTTTGTTTATAATTTTTACAGTGCAAATATTTGTAATAAAAAATATAAACTGAGCACTGTACATTTTGTATTCCGTGTTGTAATAGAAATCAATATATTAGAAAATGTAGAAAAACATCCAAAAATATTTAATACATTTCAATTGGTATTCTATTGTTTAACAGTGTGATTAATTGCGATTAATTTTTTTGAGTTAATCATGTGAGTTAACTGTGATTAATTGACAGCCCTAGTAATTAGTTGTAGCCAACTCCCATGCTTGGGTGAGTCTCTCATACAAGTGAAGAGAGAAATACTTAAAAATAGGAAAATGTAATTGTAAAAACAAACAAAAAATCTTCAGGAAGAGCCAGTACCTGAAATCAGTTTTACCTCAATTATTAAAATAAGAGAGACAAGATGAGTGAGGCAGTATCTTTTCTTGGACCAACTTATGTTGGTGAAAGACAAGCTTCCGAGCTTATCCACAGCTTTTTTCAGGTCAGGGAAAGATATTCAGAGTGTTACAGCTAAATACAAAGTAGAACCGATTGTTTAACATAAAATGTTACACTAAATCTGTTCCACCTTATATTTAGCTGTGACACTCTGACCAACACAGCAGCAACACTGAAAACGTTATTAAAATTAAACAGTTTTCAAGCTGACAGTATCCCTTTTAAGTTTCCAGCAGCAATACTAACTGACACATTGCATAACTTGTACATTTTACAGTATATACTGAACAGCATGAACACACTTAAAACCGGGACAGATTTTACTATATTTGTGGAACATGGACAAATTAATTTTGCTGTGGGAAATCTGAAAAATGCAAGGAAATATAAAACTTATTTTTATGTGCAGCCTTAATGTTGTATTAACTTTTTTTTGCATTTAATTAGTAACACATTTTAAAATGTATGCTTTTTATGCTGACAATATGCCTTCATCGTGGCTATCCCCCAAAGTTTCTACTTTTATTGAATAAATTTACAGTGGCTCTGGTACACACATAGTTCTCCCCAATAGTTTTCCCGAACACAAATTAGTATGTGCGTTTTAATTCAGGAGTTGTATTGTAACATTACCTGTGCTCCGAGATCATGCATGTATGGCTTAAGCTCACTAAACAGATCATAGCCTTGATGAAAGAAGGTCAGATGAGCATACATAAAGGATAACATCTAGAATGAAGAAAGAATAAAAGTATACATTAGAAAGGAGTTTTAAATAGAGCGTTATCAGATTTTACATATATAACTCACACTGAATGAACTCTTGCAAACAAGCTTGAAGTGCAGGGCTTAATTCACCACTGCCCTGCACTTCGTGGAGATACACATGAGTACAAAGCGAGTGCAAGGTGGGTGCAATATACCACCATTCTGACTTGGTAGTGTTCTATATCCACTCTGTGGTCACTTTGCACAGGTCTAAATGACTAAACGAGGGTCAAGTAGGAAATGAATCATCCCACCAAGTTAAATCTTTCATAAATAGGCTAACCTAATTGACAGATGAGATCATGTTTTAGTCAGATTGTTTAAAACTTTTGTTAAAAACTATGCAGCTCAAACACCTAAGAAACCAACTGGAAGGTACAAAATCTGTTGGTTAAGGATTCTTAACTTCTACAATTACAGCTAAAATAGCTCACAATCTGCTTCCCTGGGACTTCAAAGTCGACTCACCAAAAACAAGAGAAGAAACCATCAAGCGGACTTCGTACATTGTAAGAAAAAAGAAGGGAAGATATCCAGGATTCCAAAGGCACAGAGAAAAAGATTGGTTTGTAATACTGACCAGACCTCTCACAGTTTAAGTGAATTGTACAATCTCACGAAAAAAGGACGGGAAGAAAGGGGAATGTGAAAGGGACAAAGTCAAAGACACTGTCTCCAGTTATGTATCTTCCGACACTCAAGAGACAGGTGAGATTTGAAGAAAAAATGTACATTAGCTTCAAATGGTCCCAATCTATTTTCTTCAGGTAAAAAGGTGCCACTTTAAGGAAATGAGAGACTCAATCTTGAAAACAGATTGGGAGAAGTATTAATTATTTTTAAGTGAATGCAGCTTTCCCAAAGGGTACCTTATCGAAAGCAATGGAGACCAAACTACTCAAGTTTCGCTACAAAACATGTACAGCATACACAATAGCAGTAAAAACCTTAGTGATATTCCTCCACCCTGACATGAAGGGATCACCATTAAGTGTATATCTACACCGCAGTCAGAGTTGCAAGTGCAGTTCAGGTGGGCATACCTGGACAAACTTTAACCTAGCTAGCACAGCTAGAAATAGCAGAGACTATGTGGTGGCGTGGATCTTGGCGCAGCTAGTACAACAAGTACATATCCAGGTTTCTGGGCAGATTTGTCCAGTCTGTGCTGAAGCCCAAGCCATCATGTCTTCACTGCTATTTTTAGCTGCACTAGCTAAATTAAAGTTAGCATGGGTGTGCCTACCTGAGCTGCAATCCCACCTCCGATTGCAGTGCAGGCATACTGATAGACTGTAGTTCACATGCCCACTCAGTCTTAGCCTCTCTTGCTACCAACAGCCAGCATGCCAGTTGTGATGGTGGTTGTGCGACATGGAAGCAAACAGACAAATTCATGTTATATAGGTCACTGATCAGAGGGTGGCAACTTGCAGTCTCCAATGTTTATTTTTTATATTTCAGATTTAATCAGACATTTTACACATAAAATGTAAAGATCTTACCGATTTTAAGATCTCTGATCTCCTCTTAGATTGAAGAACATTAATCTAGGAAAAAACAAACATCTTGCTTCATTCACCAATCCCCACGCAAACTGCAATAATCCAGGTTATGTTCAACTGTTAATAAATAAAGTAACCTTAAAATATGGGGAGAAACAGAATTCAAAAATCTGACTCTTCATAGCAATTTTTTTTTAATATTAGTGAGAAGACAACAACTAATTGTATTTGCCATCACCGTTCACAGTTAGAGAAAAAACTTGCAATGCTAGAATTTCCCAAAGATGCTCATAAAGTTTTAATATTAGTTGAAAAAGTATTTTAAAAACCTCATGGCTCTCATAAGAACCTTATGTTCTTAAAATCTATACATGTAGTGCCAAAACATGTTGACACTTTAAAGTCAAGTAAGAAGACTGGGTCCCCACCTCTGAGAGGTGAGTGTAAAAGTGTTCGCAAGAATTCTATTAAGCTAATTACATTTTATCTTCATCACCTCAATCATGCTATTAAGTTAGCTGAAATCACTAACCACTTGTGTTCATTGGTAATCCAAGGAAGTATCATTCATGGCCCTTATCTTATTTTATGTGCAATATCTGATTTTTCACATGTATCTAGTCCTCTCTTTTTGCTTTCTGGTCACTGGCTTTAATTACCTGCCACAATGTAAGATTTTCTCAAAAAACCCTCACTTAACTGAGACATACATTACTGTGGAATTCACTTCCTTGGCATGTCTGTTTAATGCTAACAAGTAAAATAATTTTACAGAAGCTGTAAACAAAACAGATGGTATTTTAAAGCTACACATTCAATGCTTTGGAAAGTCTTCTGCAACACACACACACACACACACACTTTGAAAAGACTTTTCTGGATAAAAAAAGTAAAAGGGAACTCAGAGAAATATTGAAATACAAATTAAACCCAAGTAAATATAGCCACAAAGACACTCCAGTAGAGTCCTTTCATAGTGAAGTCATTTTTTCCCCCAGAAGAAAAGCTTCATTGTAAGCAGAAAGGTCCATCTATAACTTGAATTGTTTGCATGGTGGATTACATGGAAAATTTGGGAGTTTCCTTCACCATAAATGCAGTTTTATTAAGTGGACTGTAGTGTACACGAGAATAGACAAAATCCAAAAGGCACATGAATTCCAATATAGAATGTGCAAAAATGGCTGAATGCATGTGATCATTTCTCCTAAGCCTGTACCAAAACAATAAGAGCCTGCTACTGACAGCTAAGTTACAGTAGAACCTCGGAGTTACGAACACCTCAGGAATAGACCGTGTTCATAACTCTGAAATGTTCGTAATTCTGAACAAAACATTATGGTTGTTCTTTCAAAGTTTACAACTGGACATTGACTTAATACAGTTTTGAAACTTTACTATGAAGAAGAAAAATGCTGCTTTTTAACCATCTTAATTTAAAGGAAACAAGCAGAGTTTCCTTGCCTTGCTTTTTTTTTTTTTTCCGGGGGGGGGGGGGGGGGGTGGGGGGGGGGTGTTTTTCTTTGCTGCCTGACTGCATACTTCTGGTTCCAAATGAGTTATGTGGTTGACTGGTCAGTTCATAACTCTGGTGTTTGTAACTCTACTGTACTCCTTTATCTCACATGGTAGGAACTAAATTCACCCCTATATTGACCACTGTGAACCACTTATGTTCACTTAAGCGTCTTCTGAAAACTCTCCTCTGACATAATGCCAACAAAAAAAACCCTTGATAATGATTAGGCAGCTGGAATGCTGTGACTACTGCTTGTACTATTCTTTGTTATGTTACACTTCTCATTTATTGAATCAACCTGTTATTTATATATGGAGATATACCTAATCTCAGAGCTGGAAGGGACCTTGAAAGGTCATCAAGTCCAGTCCCCTGCCTTCACTAGCAGGACCAAGTACTGATTTTGCCCCAGATCCCTAAGTGGCCCCCTCAAGGATTGAACTCACAACCCTGGGTTTAGCAGGCCAATGCTCAAACCACTGAGCTATCCCTCCCCCCTTCTTCTCTTATACTAAGTTCTTCGGGACAGGGAAAATTTTTATTACATCTGTACAGTGTATAGCCCATAGGTGCAGCCTCAGTACTAATTATAAAGTGGTTCACAGATCATAGATGTTGTGCAGGACCTCTGGACAGGAATTAATTTAATCCTCGGTGCTGAGGGTTTCAGATTCAATCCCTGCTGATGACCACAGGATCTGTATCCATCCATGGATCAATACAGATCTGTCATGGCATTACAGAGAAACAGGAACTGGGTTGTCATAGGGGTTTCTTTAACTCCCTACTCCTGGGGGGGAAATTTGTGTGTGTCTGTATTGTTACACACATACTTGCTGACAGGTATTTTGACATAAATTACCAAAATAATTTAAACTGGTGTGATTATGCAGTGTTATTTTGACAAATAAAACTTGTAGAATTTTAAAACATTGTGTGCAGAATTTTTAATTTTTTGGTGCAGAATGCCCCCAGAAGTAACACATTGTTCTTAAAAAACTACACTGATTGTTACACTTACCTGAAGAACGTAATCCAGAGCTATGTGCCGAAAGCATTTTCGTGTTGCAGTGAGAATGTTGGTGGCCTCCTCTACTTCATGTTGTTTATTTCTTTGAATTTGAGCGTTTTTTGCTAGTGCATTTTCTTTTTCTTCACTGACTTTTTCAAACTGCTTCTTTGATTCTTTAAATTTTCTAATATCTCTAAACAAAAGGAGAAATAAATTGCAATATCCTTGGAAGGCTCATTTTGTTGATCATGAAATATTTAAAAATACACCAAATTTTAAACCTTTTCTAACATGGTTCTATTTACAGCTATCATATTTGATCTTTTTATTATTTCCCTTTTCCACCTTAAATATCTCGATCAGTGCAAGTTATAGCACAAGTATGATGGAAGTGTGACTTTCCTGGCTGCTCTGTTCTTCTGAACAAGCGAGGGAGTGAAATGTAAAAGAATACATCTTGTAGACACTGGTATTCATCTAGTCCAACCCAGGGCAGATAAAAATCATGATTAAAAAAAAATCTGACAAAACAAAAAAGATGGGTTGCTTTGTATTTTCTTTAAATAGTTTCCTAATGATTAGTAGAATTTCAGATTTTACATAGTTTTTTTCTGCTGAGATTCACATTAAATGTTCATCTACCCTGAAAAAGACAATCCAGGATCTCATTCAACATCTCTAGTGTGATACCACCACAAACTCAAACTGGTAAGGAAACAGTCCATGCTATGTTTGAAACCAGCACTACCTTCTGATGTATTAAACTTCAAAATGTCAAGAAAGCTGAAATGCTTCAACCAGGTCATACTCTACCATTACAGTCTGAAGTTAATGGGACTTGTGCTCTTAAGTGGCTTAGGTGCTTTTGACATCCCAACCGTAGATGCCTAAATATGAATCTTTGTTGTTAGTTCTGAAGTATTGTTTTAAAAAGTGAAAGATTTTATGACACTAAGGCCCCAATCCTTCAAAAACGTATGCACATACTTAACTTTATGCTCTGTGAGCACAGTCCCACTGAAGTCACTGAGACTACTCCCAGTGCAGAGTTAAGGAGCTGCTTAAGGGCCTACAAGAGAAAATTTTAATACAAAAGCTCCTGATATGGCAAACATTTATGCTCGTGCTTAACTTTAAACATATTGAAGTTCCATTGAAGTCAATGGGACTACTCAGGTGAGTAAAGTTACATATCTGTTTAAATGTTTGCATGATCAGGGCCTTTATTTTCAATCTTTTGGTTTTTGCCCATTGTAGTTTCGTAAAATTCAAATAAGATACCATCCCAGTAGTGACATTTAAAAAATCAGCTATAATTGAAATCATTATAAATGGTATTTTAAAGCTGCAATAGTACAAATTTTCAGATTAGTTTGACAAACACTCAATGCATGATTTAAAGCAAGGATTTAAAAAAAAAAATCCAATGACTGAAAAGGTCTCCACCCCAGTCCAACCCCTATTGGGCTGTTGGGTTATTTCTGGCAAGTTTAAGAGGTGCTAGGCAAGCTGTGGCTTGACTATTTCCAAATATCTTCAACCTCTCTCAGAAGCTGATTTCACTTCCTAGTTGGTCTTAGTGGAGATATTTTTCCTTGCGGTTTATTAAGGTGAATTTATTTGAAATGAAAATTAACTTACTCTTTAACGAACGTCTGAAGCTGTGCTTTAATTGATCTTTGGGTTTGGTCAAATAGGGTCTGAAAGAGAAAAAACAAAAAAAACTTAGTTCAATAAAGGATTTGGAAGTATTGGAGTCCTTTTATTTTAGACCAAAAAAACATCTAAACCCTTTAATTCTGCCTAAGCCCTGGCTCTCCTATGCCATCTCTCTGAAGTCTCCAGGTCTAACAGTAGATTTTGCATTTAAACTGCATTTCTCAATATTCTGATTGTTTTAAAAAAATTAGAAGTATTTCAAAATTAAAAACATCTTTCACCTGAAAAGTCTTAGCAGCCTACCACTCTGCAACAAGATAAAAGAAAAGCTAAAGCTACTCCAATAATGAACACTGGCTGCTGCTCTTGTACTTGTTCCCAATGATGTGCATATGAGAAAGTTTAAAGCATAAAGCTGGGGAAAGAAGTTACCCACCTTGTGCAGTTAATGTAGTTCTTTGAGATATGTCCCCCTATGGGTGCTCCATTTCAGGTGCGCATATGCCCCATATGCCTTTCAGCGGAGATTTTCACCATCAGTCTCTGTTCGGCCCATGCATGCGCCCTATACATCCTTATGCCCTGCACCAAGGCTAACTAGGACTTAACAGGCGAACCATCCTCAGTTCCTTCTCTACCACAAAGTCCACCAAGGAAACTTCGAAGCAGGTAGTGGAGCACCCACAGGGACACACATTCAATGAAGTATTCTACCTAACATTCATGTGCCTGCAGGGTTACACCTCATTCCAAGAGGTTAACTAAAAATAGTGAATTAGACAAATGGTTACTTAGCATAACTGTGATTCTTCAACTTACCTTGTCCCTATGTATTTCATTCTTGGAGGACATGCACCCCATGCACTCAAGACTGAATCTGTTTGGCCAGCACAGTGCTGTTGGGGCACCTCACCCGAAAGCATAAAAGATGGGGTGACCACAAACGTCTCAGTTCCTTTGCCAGTACACAATTCAGATAGTAATCGCTGCAACAGCGGGGGAAGAGTGCAGGTCACAGAATATGTATGGACAACACATCTCGAAGAACCACAGTTTCCCTAAGGTAACCATTTCTTCTTTGAGTGCTTGTCCAAGTGTACTCCTCTCTTGGTGACTCAGAAGTAGTAATCTGTATGATAGGAGGTGGGTGCTTTTTGAACAATCGTTGGACAGCTGTGCCAAAATTGGCATCAGCTCTTAATGCCTCTACCAGGGAGTAGTAGTGTAAATATATGTACTATACCCCATGTTATCAATTTACTGCAGATCTAAGGCCTGGTCTACACTAGGCTTTTATGTCGAATTTAGCGCCGTTATATCGAATTAACCCTGCACCCGTCCACACCAGGAAGCCATTTAGTTCGACATAGAGCCCTCTTTAAATCGATTTCTGTAATCCTCCCCAACGAGAGGAGTAGCGCTAAATTCGAAATGGCCATATCGAATTAGGCTAGGTGTGGATGGAAATCGACGCTAATAGCTCCGGGAGCTATCCCACAGTGCACCACTCTGTTGACGCTCTGGACAGCAGTCCGAGCTCGGATGCTCTGACCAGCCACACCCCGGGAAAATTTGAATTCCTTTTCCTGTCTGGGCAGTTTGAAGCGCAGTTTCTGTTTGGACACCGTGGCGAGCTCAGCAGCAGTGGCAGCAGTGGCAACGATGCAGAGCTCTCCAGCAGAGATGGCCGTGCAATCCAATAGAAAGAGGGCCCCAGCATGGACGGATCGGGAAGTCTTGGATCTCATCGCTGTGTGGGGAGATGAGTCCGTGCTTTCCGAGCTGCGCTCCAAAAGACGGAATGCAAAGACCTATGAGAAGATCTCTAAAGCCATGGCAGAGAGAGGCTACAGCCGGGATGCAACGCAGTGCCGCGTGAAAATCAAGGAGCTGAGACAAGGCTACCAGAAGACCAAAGAGGCAAACGGACGCTCTGGATCCCAGCCCCACACATCCCGTTTCTACGAGGCACTGCATTCCATCCTAGGTGCGGCCGCCACCACTACCCCACCCCTGACCGTGGACTCTGAGGATGGGATATTGTCCGCGGCCGGTTCCTCAGCGGACGGGGAAGAGGAGGAAGGAGATGAGGAGGACGAGGCAGTAGACAGCGCTTACAACGCTGATTTGCCCGACAGCCAGGAGCTCTTCATCACCCTGACAGAGATCCCCTACCAACCCTCCCCAGCCGTTACCCCAGACACAGATTCAGGGGAAGGATCAAGCAGTAAGTGTTTTAAATATCCAAACATTTATTTACAACATAACTGGCATATTTAAAATATTAACAGTAGCTAAAGTGCTTTAAAACATGTAAACATTTATTTGCAACAAAACAGGAAGATTGAAAATATTAACAGTGGGTAAAGTGCTTCAAAACATGTAAACAGGAAAGTCAAACAAAAGGGGAATCAGTGCAAAGTGTATCATGATTACTCCGTCTTTGGGCGCCTCAATATATAGTCCGAACCATTTTCAAAAAATCTCACAATGTCCGCTTCATGATTATAGTGCCCAAAACCCTGCAGTCATTTGTCCCTCCAAGGGCACCTAAGCCAAGAACTGGTCAATGTAACCGGGGATTGAGGCGACATCCTCCGGGGAGAACTCCTCATACACCTCCTGCAGGTGTTTTTCAAGCCTCATCAGCAGGTTCCTGGGCAGGGAGAGCTTATTAGGCTCCCCGTGGTAGGACACGTTTCCCTGCCACAACGCCAGCAGGTACTCCGGGATCATGGCCTTGCACAGCAGTGCAGCAAATGGCCCCGGTTTCTGTAGGCTGTCCCGGAGCATCTTCTCCTTCTGGCTCTCGGAGACCTTCAGGAGGGTGATGTCAGGCATGACTCCCTGCTGTGAATTAGGTAGGGGAAAGTTAGTATTGGGACTGCTTGCCCGTCCCTTTACAGAACTGCAACCGCCGGTTTACAGCCACGCGGTTTACAGCCGCGAGGGGCTGGGACAGGGGCAGAGTTCATGCTTGCAGGATTGCTGCCAGCAGAGACTCGCATTGCTTTCTATGTGAAAGGAGGCCAGTGCCACTCTTAAAGTTTTAAGCGGCCACAAGTCTACGGCTTACCATGTTTGCCATCTAGACAAAGTCCGGTGTCCTGCCCTGCTCCTCAGCTCGCCACAGCAAGACCGCAGGCACTGTAGGCGAGGGCCGAAAATTCGACCTTGTCCTCAGTGCGCGTGTGATAGGTGCTCTGCATGGTCTTGTTCACAGAGAAAGACTATGTTCTCTGTTCACAGATACATTGCTCTGTCTCAGGAATTCACTCCCTTTTTCCAATTCCCACAGCCACATCTGCCCAGAGGCTAGCGCACATTAGGAGGAGGAAGAAGAGGACACGGGAAGACATGTTTGCTGAACTAATGGAATGCTCCCGAGCACAGGCAGCCCAGCAGACACAGTGGAGGGAGAACTTGTCCCAAATGCACCGGGCAAACATGGAACGGGAGGAGAGGTGGCGACAGGAGGACAGGCAGGCTACTCAAACGCTGCTTGGACTAATGAGGGAGCAAACGGACACGCTCCGCCGCCTTGTGGATGTTCTGCAGGACCGGAGGCAGGAGGAGAGAGCCCCGCTGCAGTCTCTCTGTAACTGCCCTGCCCCGCCACCAAGTCCCATACACCCCTCACCCAAAGTCCAAACACGGAGGAGTGGAAGGGGCCGGGAAAAATTTCACTCCACCCCTGCGGACTGCTCTACCACTAGAAGGCTCTCATTCCCCAAAATTTGAAAAGTCCTTTCCTACCGGCCTCACACAAGACCCCGTCCAAGTTTCACCCCCCCGTTCCATGTGCGGTTGTTAATAAAGAATACGTTTCTGTTCATTTCTGTTTCCATCCTCTTCTTTTGGAGGGGAGTCTGTCTGAAGGGGGGGGAAGGGCCTTGGTCATTGGACAGGACAGTCACCTTTAGCAGGGGGCAGGTGCAGCAGCAGGGCACATATACAGTGCAGTGACTAGTTATCCTGGTTAGTCTGGGAGGTGGTTTTCATGTTTTGTGTGGTGGGGGCGGTGGTGTTGCTCTGTGACTTGGTGGCGGGGGAGGGCAGTTACAGATCTTATGCAGCGGTCCTTACCCTGGATCACAGAGCCGCGCAGCAGGGGATCTGTAACCCTCCTCCCCCTGCAAGACAGTCACATAGCCGACACATACACGCAGTCCCGGCCAGGAGGGCTGGCAGGCTCCGTTGAAACTACCAGTCCACCACCGCGGAGCCTGTCATTCCTGGAGTTTAGAAGCATCATTTGCATCACAACCCTAAACCCGCCCCCCGCCACAGTCTGCGTCCCAGGTTTAAAACATTCCCGCGAAAACAGTAATAAAGACAACGGTGTCCATGAACAAAACAGAACAGATTTTATTTTTTGGGAAGGGGGTGAAGGGGGTATGTAAGTGGAGAGGATAGTCGACGGCAACTGGGTAAAGAAACAGGGGCAGGTTCAGCTTCTCTGTAAACAAACTTAATAGTCACTGGTTGCCCTGCTCACTCAGGAACCTAGCTTTCAAAGCCTCCCGGATGCACAGCGCGTCCCGCTGGGCTCTTCTAATCGCCCGGCTGTCTGGCTGGGCATAATCAGCAGCCAGGCTATTTGCCTCAACCTCCCACCCCGCCATAAAGGTCTCCCCCTTGCTCTCACACAGATTGTGGAGCACACAGCAAGCTGCAATAACGATGGGGATATTGGTTTCGCTGAGATCACAGCGAGTGAGTAAGCTTCTCCATCTCCCTTTGAGACGGCCAAAAGCACACTCCACCACCATTCTGCACTTGCTCAGCCGGTAGTTGAAGAGTTCTTTTTCTGTGTCCAGGGCGCCAGTATAGGGCTTCATGAGCCAGGGCATTAGCGGGTAGGCTGGGTCCCCGAGGATCACTGTAGGCATCTCCACATCCCCAACAGTTATCTTGTGGTCCGGGAAGTAAATACCTTCCTGCAGCCGTCTAAACAGACCAGAGTTCCTGAACACGCGAGCGTCATGAACCTTGCCCGGCCATCCGACGTAGATGTTTGTAAACCGTCCCCGATGGTCCA